TAGCCTAAGTGGAGGTCACCACCTGATACACCTAAGAGAATCACATCATCTGCAAAGAGCAGAGATGAGTCCACTGAATCTGACACCCTACGCCTCTTGGATATGCTACGAAATTCAGCCCATCAAAAGTTATGAACAGAGCAAAGGTTACAAAGGTTAGCACTGATGGAGACCAGTCTGACATTTTGTTGGCAACAAGTACCAAACTTTGACTCTCAACTAAAAACCAGTGAAGCTAAAGACATGCTACAGGCAGGCAGAGCACACAGTTTCCCTCATGCTATGTTCAGGGCAAGCTGGTATGTGACAGTTGCTGTCTGTGTTTCAGGACCAAAGGTAACACCTTTATGATGTAAAGCTTCCAGCTGAGAATTGGACAGCAACATCAGCACATGCATCACTCCCAGCAGGGTCACTGCCGCCTGGACTGGGCCTTGCAGTGTAGCAGTACCAACTCTCTTTTTCCATGTGTGACATGACCAGGGCATGCCCCAGCTGTGCCGGGTAGAGTTGGTGGGGCCGGCAATGGAGTCTATTTTAATTAAAATGACTGACTAGAGTACAACTACTCCTCTTGATGCTGTATAGTACTTAACATTAATATCAACTGCGTAAATTGCTGCATAGATGAATTTGGGTACTTTTGACAGGGAAACCTTAAAGCTACAAAACATATTTTTGAAAAGCACTAATAAAATCAAAGCAAAAATCTAATCAGTTATGTATTATTATACTCATTATGAACAAATTCACTGACAAATTCAAAATTGTAATGACAAGAAAGAAAAACACCAAAGTACAGTCAACAGGATGAGTTGACTGCAACAAAATATCTAAATAAAGTATGTAAAATGATTAAAAAACCTAGCATAAAATAAATAATATGGAGGACAAATGATACATTTTGAAGTAGAAGCAGGAAGAAGAAAATACTAAAAAACACACAGGTGTGATCAAATTTGTACCTTAGTAAAGTATTTAAAGTGAATGTAATAAATTACATTTCCACTATGGGCCTATCCATCCTCCATTCCACTTCAACGTCACTGTTTGTGGAGTGGGCTTTTATTTTGGGTGGGAGCCAGTGACACCCAAGGCCCTCCCTCTAGACGAACCTCTG